ACTCTTGGGTGGATGCCACCTGATCCCATTAGCTGAGTTAGTTTGCCAATGGGTCCAGAACGCTGGGGTGCCCAGCACTCTTTCCTAAAGACCCTCTGCCTCTTTGTGGGACCAGCAATCTCATCTCTTGGACTCTATCTTTAGGAAATAATCAGAAATGGCTTTAATGATTATGGACCAGGATGTTTTGCTTTTCTCACAGCACCACTATGAAACTGTCTCATTTAATTATTTACTTGTCTCTTTTCTCCCGTATGGAGGTAAGCACCACTATTTTCTCCTCTAATTAAGATTATGATAAGGATAACAAAAATAATGTAAATGATAGGTAATAGGCATTCTGTGTTTACTGTGTCCCACGTGCTCGGCTACACCCTTTATACACATTATGTCATTAACTCCCACAAAGACTTTATGAGGTTAGTGCGATTATCACCATTATCAATTATTACCAATAATGATCAAATATCATCATTTTACAGGTGAAGAGAATGAAGGCCTAGAGAGGTTATTTAAAAGCTCCCCAACACATCACTAGTTAGTGGTGAAGATGAGACTTGAACTTGGCTCCATTTGACTCTAATTTTTGGATAAGAACACTATGCCAGGTGTATGGTGATACTTAATAGGAGTTCACCAGCCTCTTAAGCCTTCCCTGGAACAGGCAGTATCTCAGAGAAGAGTGGCCTAGATGTTTAAGTTTCTTGTCTAGTGTGGTAGGACCTATTATTTGGTCTACTCAGATCTCTGCCCCTCATGCCCCAAGTATCTCAGCTGTCCTATTTTCTCCCTGCTGGCAAAGCTCTGATTTTGTTTAGGTTCTCACTTTACATGCGGCTCACAGGCACCCTATCCCAGACACTGAATCTTCATAAGTCTTAGCCAATCATGATGATTTCATCCTTTATGCTCCCTCTGATGGTTCTTAATATGGGTATGCTCTTCTAGCTGAAGAGATGTGAAATTCTACAGGAAATGGGGATTGGGGGTAAAGAGTTAGGAGAACTTCCTACTCTTGAAAGAGGACACAACAGAAGACAGGCCAGACCCTTTCGTATCCTCTGGATATGGTATGAGGAGGAGGTGAGTGGAGCTGTGGCAGTCATCTTGAGAACAGTAGGGGAAACAACCAAAAGCAACTGTCACGTGTGTTGCGAGAAGGCTCTTTGTTTCAGGTAACCCCTTGAAGGAACTTGTTTAAGAAAGGAGAGGCTGCTTGGCCATGGGGCTCTTTAGACAGGTGGCCCGTGGTCACCCACCTGCAAACCTGTCTGGCCCCTACTCAGTGGAGGTGTGCATGTATATCTGCCCTTTGCAAGGGTGCCCCTCATTTGTTTGCTGGGAACCACTTAAAAATAGAGAAATTTCATCTAAAATCTCATTTCTCTTTTCTCCTTGGAAAAATGAGCCTATCTGGTAATTCTGAGTCCACAACCCACTTTTCAATAATAGCCTGAAGAGTGACTGCGTCCCTGGACTTGGGCGTGTACTCAACAGATGGGCAGCTACCCACAGTCCCACCAACACTCAGGTGACAATTAAATTTATTCCAGTCATTGGCTTCCTGGCCTCAGTGGGCATATAAGGGTCAGGGCAGGGCAGATTGACGTACCTAAAGAGAAATCAACGCTTAATAGAATAAAAGCTCCAAGAGATGGTTAGGCTCCTAGAAGATTGGAATTGCGAGGAAGGATCTAGACGAAGCAGAGGGCCTCAAGGGGAGCTAAGCATTGGAGAGCTGGCCTGGGATGAGTTCCTGATGGCTGAGAGGGCCAAAAATGTTGAATACTCATCTTGAGGTTTATTCCAGTCCGTGCTGTTATCATTTTCCTCATTAAATCTATTATGAGGAAATTAAATCTATTTAATCCTTTAAACCAAGGACTAAATCTATTATGCACAGCAGTCTTGTATTATGGACCTTTCAGAGGACCAGAAACTGAAAAAGAGGCTGTTCCCAGCAAGGGGACCCAGAGAAGACAGCAGCAGGCAGTAGCACCTGGGGCAGGAGGGAAGCTGCAGCAAAGCTGACCCCATTTTCTACTACAAGGAGTAACCTTCCGAAAGGGGGGCCCTCACAGAACCCTTAATTCTGCCCTGAAAAACCTGCAGCCATGCCGGAGAACTGCGTTTATGTGGCTATGGACGTACACCCCACTTCACTTTGCATTTTGGTGATCCATGCATTCGTCTAGTGTCTCCTACTAGACAGTAAACTTGAAGACCAGCAACACGTCACTTTTGTAATCCTCCAAAATGAAGCATAATCCTTGATTCATAATAGGTGATAAATGCCTACAGAGAAATAAATTCTTCCATACTCTGAGGTGATCCAATAAATTAAGCAGGGTCAGTGGAAAGATACTTACCACTCTTGTAGTGAAAATGACTGCTGCAGGGCAAAGATAGAAATTAAGCCTCTTCGGGGAATAATGTGGTAAAATACATATTTTTAAAATTCATACCTGTTAACTCAGTAAAGCCACTTGTCAGAATCTGTCCTAATAACTCCAAAAACACTTGCACAAAAATCTTCATTTAAATATTCCTTAAGCTAGCAAACTTTGGAAGTATTCTGCATATCTAGACTTAGAAGAGTTATTAAACAATGAATGGTACAGCTGCTCAATGGAATGCTATGTAGCTATTAAAATAACCATCATCCATTCTGTGCATCAAAATTTAAATGTTAATGATACAATGCTAAGCATTTTTAAGTAGTATACAAGATTTCACATCACTCACACTGAGCTTTTCCAGGTGACAGAGAACAAAGTTAGACTCTTGTTGGCAAGAGATTTATTGTAAGGACACTCAAGGAAGTAGGGAGACAGGGCACAGTTGCATCAGCAATGCAGAGAATAAAACATTGTTTGGGGCCTGAAGGTTATTCAGGACATGACTACATTATGCTGTGGGCCCTGAGTGTGAGGTGACTGGGCTTGCGTCCTTGAGCTCTGCCATTTGGTGCACAAGCCCCTCATTGTCTTTGTTTCTATGGCGTGGCTTGCTTTTCTTTCTACTCAAGCCTCTGCTTACTCATGCCTTCCACACTTCATGGCTTTTATCACCTATATGGCTTCTGCTTACTGATTTCTACTGGCCTCCAGTTTTCTGTGTGTCTCCTATTTAAACTCCCTAAGAAAGGGGATCTAATTGCTTCAATTAGTCACTACTGTTCCATGAGTCAGACCTCTCAAGCCAGGTCACCTCCACATTCCACTTGTCAGTATATATATTAACTGTTACTCTGTCTGATCCAATCAGCTCTGGTCCAAAAAATGGTCACACAGCACGAATATGGCAGGTACTTCAAGCCTATCAGTCACCTATCCAAAACAACTATAGTTTTGCACTATGTCTAATATAATAAATAAGAAATATATTATGTATGAAAACAGACAGGAACAGGATAAATTAAAACCATCATGGCCCAGTTAGGGTGGAGGGATTAGAGGTGATTATTTTTCTCTGTTTTGCAATTTTCATTTAATGATGCTGTAATTGCTTTTCAGTTTTCAGATTTTTTAAAAGTGATCTGCCCCACACAATAGGGGTCACACAACTAAGCTAAGTTCAGTCTCTCCCATGAACTTGTCTTGGAATGTAAAGTCACAATCATTAAAGCTTATGGTCACTCTTGCACAATGTGGAGTGGCATTTATCCCTGCCTTACCTTGCTAGGTAAAGGTGAAGGCCACAGGCCATAATTGTTGTAGGCTGTGAAAGCACCTTGAGGGCAAAGGTATTTGTTATTACATTGAAAACTCCATTTAAACTGCTGTAATAGCATATGCCACATGAGCGAAACCCAGACTCTTGTAACTAGCGTGGTTGTGGCAAGGCGTCCCTGTCCACAAGCTAGGTATTTGAAAATACCAGGGGCTCCTTGGCAGACATCTCCAGGGCTCCAGAGAAACTACTATGGCTGTTTTATGAAACCAGCCACCCTCGGCTTCACTTTGATGGTCCTCTGTTTACACCCTTATTTCTGTTCCTCTGCCACAGACGTACAATTACTTAGTATTATTATTGCTTGTAATAATAACTATCATTACTTTAAGGACTGCCCAAGATGGAAAAGACAGGAGAAACTTATTTATCATATGGACTGGTGTTTGCGATTTATCATAGCTGGACAGTTTGCGTCTCGTCTAGCCTGAACCCCCTTCTCGTCCGTCCCCGTTATGCACTCGGAGCGCACATACAGAGGTCGCTGGTCTCCAGGCTGGCGGTTTCTCTCCCGCAGCTTAGACGCCCTGTTTCGCGACTCTAGAACCGAGATGCAAAATCCTCCCGCGCTCCTAGAGAGGACCCGGAAGTCCAGCGCAGTCCCGGAAGAAGAGGTGCTGACACACTTCCGGCCTTTGTGACTCATTGTGTCTGTGTCGAGGCGTCGGAAGGGCTTGTGTGTGTGTGCGGCGCCCTTCTGCCGACCTGAACCCCAGAGTCAGCTCCCCTTTCTCGCCCAGCGCCCCCGGGCCGCTCCCGGGGCTCACGGTGAGACTTGGGGCCGGCTTCTGGGGAGGACGGGCGGGGCCGCAGGGTTGTGTGCACGAGGGTGGGCTCTGCGGCCTCGGCCCCGGGGCCCCCCCAGGCTGCCTGGGCGCAGTGTGAAGGAACCCAGGCCCCACTCCCCTCCCCAGGCCCGGCCGTGGGAAGCGCCGTCTCCCGCGGACGTCCCCGCCCCACCTCCGGGTCCAGGCGGGGAGGGCGCAAGGGTCTAGGCGCCGGGGGTGCTCGGAGACCTGGGAAGAAGCGGTCTGAGGGCCCTTTCCGGGCCCTTCGTCCCCAGTGTCATCATCGTCGTTTGACGTTTGTGAGAACGGGGTCGCGAGCGAATCGACCCCTCTCTGATTTTTCTGCTCTCCCATCGTCGCCATTTGCTTTCATTGCAGTGAGAGATGTTTTTTCAGGACCTCGAGGTGAAAAATGCGGAAGGCCGAGAACTGGAGACGTTTTGAGGTGCCGCGTACGTGTTTTCAGATCGCCTGCTTCTCACCCCATCCCCCCACCCCCGAGCGCTGATGAGAGAATTTGAAACCTTAGTCCTAGTAGATGAAGAAGTAATTCGGGTCTAGTGGAGATTATGTACAGCCACTCTCTCAGCTTTCCGGAATATTTTGAAGGCCTTTAATAAAAATGAGCTATCCGGCAGATTAGGTGGATTTTTCAGTTCTGGGTAGTTACTCTGCTGGTCTTGGAGTTCGTGAAGAGTGAGGGGAATTTGTAGAAATGCACCGAGCTGTTAGTAGATTGATTAACTGAGTGACCTCACAAGACAGAACAGTACACCAGTTCTGTTTTGTCATCCATAAAATCAGCTAGATTTTCTCAGAGGGCCCTAACAACTATGAAATTGTTTGATTTGGTAATTGAAAAACTAAGTTTACAGTTTAGCCTGACGGTCCTCCCCTTCCCCCTCTTTCCCGTAGTTCTTGTAGTGCACAATAAGATACTTTGATTATAGAGAGTGGCTGTTATATGGCCTGGGACCAAAGAAAGCATTTATTGTACAGGCCAGTGCTAGGAGGATTGAAGGTGGTCAATAAATACTTGTCGAACTGAATTGTGGACAATTTATTGTAACCAGATAGCAAAGCACTGTTACTCTGTATGCTGGCCTAATGTGGAGAAATAGCTTTATTACATAGGGAATCATAATGATACTTTGCTCCAGAATATATTTCCAAGTTTGTGTTGTCTCTGACTTACTATGCAAGATTCTTGTTCATTATTTCAGGCAGTTTTCACCAATCTTAAAATGCAAACAGGAGGGCTAAGCTACTTAAGATACCATAATCTTTTGCTGGTTCTCTACTTGATGTAAGCATTTCATTTTTTTCTAACTTGATATTGAATCTTAGTACAGGTGAGTGTTATGGGAAATCTTGCCTTTTCATTCTGAGGTAGTACAGTATTATTCTTTGAGTAGCTTGCTCCCTTTTAAAGGTAGCTTTTTCATACTTTAAAGCATTTTATAGCTCTGTTCAAAAATGAGAGTGGGCAGTTTGTTTAAACTTTGAAGACTATGCCCTGGTAAAGATACTGGCGTGTTAAGAAAATAGACTTTGGAGTAAATTGAGCTTGTAACTCCAAGGCCTTTTTGTAAGAAAATCATTCTTATTTATCCTTGGTGAGAACTAGTTGGGGGCAGGGAGTCATCTAATCTAAATAGGATAGTGTGTCAGAATGTCTTCCAGCTCAGAGGGACCCCCGCAAGTAGTTTTCTACTACTCACCTGCCCCACCCCATTTGACAGATAAGGATTCTGAGTGTTAAAGAGGTTAAATAACTCACTCAGGGATGTGTAACTTATTTGTGGGAGACGAGAGTTTGGGTGTTCCAACCTGTGCTGTTTTCCCTGTAACAGGATGCCTCCCATTGCTTAGTCTTTTAAGTAGGCTGAAAATTGGAAAGTACACCTACTTCTCTAGTGCCTACTAAATGCTAGATACATTTTAACTGCTTTATGTATGTTAACTCATTTAATCCTCACACCTCTGTGAGGCAAATAATGTTTTTTATCCCATGGTACAGATGAGGAAACATGTATAGAGAGAGTAATTTGCCTAAAATCATCAGCTGGTAAGTGGTGGTGCCCCTTAATTAAACTTTTCCAAGTAGCCAGGGGCCAACTTGAAGGCAGTCGTTGAATGCTGTGTGGATGGGCAAGGAATAGTCCATTGTAAATACAGTCAGGTGTGTTTTTTAAAAATGGATGCTTGCAAGGTAATATATTAAATGGTCTAAGAGGTATGAAGACACATATCCTTAACAGTAGTTCAGTTGAGGAGGAGGACATGAAAAACTTAGAGAAAGAAACAAGGACTTCACAGCAGATACCAGTAGAGACCATTAGGGGGAGGGGGGGATTTAGACAGAGGAGAAGACATTGGTCAGATCATCTAGGGACCTAAAATAAAACCCAGCCCTGCCACTTGTTGTGACTTTTCTCTTAACCTGAATAAGAACAGAGAAAGGTTTGGGCGTGGAGGAGAGGACCTGCCCCAATCGGAGGAAGAGGGAATGCGCCTCTGCCCTCATCTCTGGCCCTTCGGGTCTCACTTCCTTCTTGGAATCTCTTCCTGTTCAGTCCCAGTGACCCTAGAAATATCCTCCTCTTTAGAACTCCGGCCTAGGTGTGGGCACAAATCAGGATTGCTTTATTCTCCTTAATACAGCTGAGACAGGATAGAATTTTCATAAAAATAGATACTTCTGATGCCAGGCTGGTTACCATGCTATTTCTAGATGAAATAGATGTGTCCATTGGCACCTCGTGACTCTCCTTAGTTACACAGCTCTCTATAGTGAAAACAGCAGGTGGCAGATGAGGCCCATTCCTGAGTGATGGTTCTTCATGGGCCCCTTCGTTGGACTTCCTCTTAGAATCTTATGTACAAGGAAGCCCTTCCTTACTCCATGTTAGGACAGAGTGAGTTTGTTATTGTTGACTGAAATCAACATGGCTGCTGTATGAAGAAAGAGTATATTCAGTGTAACTGAGGACCCTGGCCTGGGAGGACAGTCATTCAGAGAGTTCTGATTGGAATACTCCGGAGCCCTTTGTCTGGAGACAGTTAGTATGCCTTTTTATGACAGGAATGCCTGGAGGAAAAGAGGTTACGTTAATCAGTGTGTTAAAGCAGCATGTCAAGGATACGTCTCAGTGTCACGGGAGAACATACTGTGCACATTCTGCTGCTACCTATGTGTGAGAGAAGGCAGAGATCAGGACTGTTAATCATTCTCCTAAAGAATTCGGTCAAGGACAGAAAAACCAGACTCCTCTGTGAGCATTCCAGGCTGTTTCTGTTCTCGGCCACGGTCAAAGGCCCGTGGCAGTCTTGCTGGCACAGGTGAGAGTGGCTGCACGGCTTCTCCACAACACAGCCCGAGTTGGTCTGGCTAAACAACTTAGGGCCTCGACAGTTTACCAAGCTGTCCTTGCCTGTGGCACCTCTGTGGGGAGCCGTAAGAATTTTATTTCACAGTATGATGGTTAGAGCTTAATCCAAGGAGTCCCACAGACCTAATTTCAAATGCTGACTGTACCATTTAATTGCTGTGTAACCTTGGGTTATGTTATTTAATGTCAGTAAACCTCAGTTTTGTCATTAAAAAGTGAGATGATAATTATGCCTACCTCAGGATTGTGTGAAATGGGTAATGTGATTCCTGGCACATAGAAAGCAGTCAATGAACATTGGTTCTTAACTATTACACCTCCTAGAAGCTTCTTGAATGGAACAGCCATGAGGGTCAAGTGACATTTTAGCTTAGCTCTGAAGGATAAGTAGGATTTGAAAGAGCAGAGAAGGAAATCGTAGGCATTGAGTGTGATGTAAGGAAAGGCTGGCAATCAAAATACAAAGCCTATGTAGTAAGTACTGAGTAGACTCATTTTACTGGATCAAAAGATTCATGTGGGGACAGGGAAGAAATTGAGGGGAAACAGACTACTGGAGGATGGTGACTGCAGGCAGTAGTTTTAGGAAGAGTAATCTGAGAGTAAGATAGGAGATGGGGTTGGGAGGCAAAGTAGGGAGAAAATGAAGGCAGGGAACCAGAGAGGAAGCTGGACTTCACGGAACTAGGTAGAAAAGTAAGCATGAACAAAGAATTACTTCTTCCTGGTGCTTGGAGACTGAAGCACAGAATTAACAGAATTAAACACTGCTGGGTTCTCTAGAAGATAAGTACAGAAAAGACATGTCCCTGTCTAAGAGGCTTAAAATTGTGTTGGGAGGTAGAGAAGGAATTTCAACCCAAATATTGAAAAGACAAGGAGAACATAAACGCCCTAAGGTAGGAGCAAAGACAGTACTAAGGGCGTTCAAAGGTGGGAAGGTATCACAGTTTAATTCAGAATGTGTGGAGACGTTCTATGCCTTGAAGGATAAGTAAACATTTGACCAGTAGAGCTGAAACAATGGAGATTGTTCACAGCAAAGGAGTGAAGGTAAAAAATCACATCCAATGTTTGGGGAACATGGATGGACCAGATGGGTTGAAAGATAGGGGATCAAGAAAAGTAGTGGGAGGCAAGACTGCAGAAGTGCTGACTGGTTTGAACACTAAACTAGTAGATGGAGGATTCATTGACAGTACCTGAGGGGAAGCAGGGAATGCCAGAGCATACCTTGGCAATGCTGCCTTGACCTAGGTATGTTGTTCATATTGGAATTAAGCTGGAGAAACTATTTGGGAACTATGTCCCTAGCCTAGCCAGGAGATAAGAAGCCCGGATGAGGGTGGTAGAAAATAATTGTGGGAGGCATATAGCAGGAAAAGATGGTATTTCTTTTGACTTTTCAGGATGAAATGAAAGTAACTAAGGCTTATAGAAATTATTTAGCCTTGATTTGGGAAAAAGCTAGCCAAAGGCGTGATCTTTTGGGCAACCTGTGTCTGCCTCCTTCTGTGGAGGTCCTGGCTGGCTCATGCCCCAGCTCCAGGGGCCTCTTCCTGGAAGCTGCCCTGTTAACATGTCTGTTACTTCTCAAAGCCTCTGTGGTGCTCCTGTTAAAACTACCTTAGACCTGTTGGTACATTGTGCTTGTACCGTAATTATTTTTGTAAAAATAGGAATGGGGCTTCTCATAGGACACCCTGCATATTATAGATTCACAGGAATGTTTAAGAAATTGAATTATTGTCACTGTAAGGACCTCACAAGCTGCTCTGAGGTTGAAAACAAAATGTATTTACTGCAGCAAGGAAGGTGGGGTGCAAAACAGGTCTGAAGGGATCGGTGGGAAGGGCTAGAAGACACTTTGCAATAGGACTTTTACCAGTTTAAAATCATCTGAGAAATGACTTGATTCCCCACATTCTCTTTACAGTTGCGTAGAAAGGTTTTTTGGATGTAATGTTCTTTATTGTTATTATAGACTGCTGTTTTAATAAGGATTTCTATTTTTTATTAAGGACCAAAAAATGAGATAGAAAAATTAATCCTGTGGTAATATTTGATTAAAATCCTGTTCTTGTGATGAAAACAGTCATTTCTAAACTTTTTTGGCCACACATTCCTATCAGTAAAAATTATTTATAAAAATTATATACATGTACTGTTACATCAGTATTTTGTATAATAAAACAAGAGATACATTGAATTGTGCTACTTAAAGATAACTTTTGTGGTTTAAATGTAGAGTTGACCCTCGAATGACATGGTTTAGGGGCTCTGACTCCCCCAACATTGAAAAAATCTGTGTGTCCCGAAACTTAACTACTAATACCTTACTGTTGACGAGAAGTATTACCAGTAACATAAACAACTGATTACTCATTTTTTATGTCATGTGCATTATTTGCTATATTCTTACATAAAGTGAGCTAGAGAAAAGGGAATGTTTTTTCAAGTTGTTGCAAATATAAAAAAAATTTTCCAATATATTTATTGAAAAACGTCTGATCATACCTAGACCCACACAGTTCAAACCCATGTGTTCAAGAGTCAATTGTACATGATTTTTTCCCACCAAAATTACTAATAATTTTTTAGTGAGAACCATGTAATTCGAAATGCTTTGGTAGGGTAAAACTCTTGGCTTAACTCATTATGTTACAGAAATCAGTTGCTTTGTCTCTGAAACTTGAATTTGATGTTTAGTTTTGATGGCTGTAGGATTGAAAAAGATAGTTCACAAAGATTTGTCAGTTCAGTGGAAAGAAATGCTTAGTGACTTGTGATTGGTCCTCTCCACCAACCGTGCTAAATTTCTGTGCTAACATTCAGCTAGTACATTCCCATTTTTCATGCCCATAAATTTCCTGTTCTTACAAACTAATCAAAAGGTGTATATTTTTAACAAACAGACTTGTGTCCCTCTAGATTTTTTTTCATTTGGAAGATTTTTAAACAGATTAGAAAATATTTCTGAGGTTTTTTAAATAAGGATTTTTCCAGGATACTTAGTTTCAGTTTTGGCAGTTAAAATTACCTAATAATGGGAAAACTTCCCAGTATACATCTGTTCTCATAATAGTTCTTTCCTCATGCTCTTTCCTTTTTTTTTTTAAAGCAGCTATTTTCTCACCGGTTGACTTGTTTTATTTATTATATTAGATCGACATTGGTTTTTATCTCCTAGTCTGGCTGAGTAAACCTTGTTCTAGATAGAAACTTCAGCTGTGCCATTCTCTTATTTACCTCTGTGTACATCATTAGTTTTTCCTCTAATTGTAGTTTCTCTGCAGGATCCTTAAAACTGCTTGTCTTTTTATTTTTTATTTTAGATTAAAATTGACATATAATGTTATAGATGTTGCAAAATGATCGCAACAGTAAGTCTTAACATTCGTCACCATAGTTAACAATTCTTTTTCTCGTGATGAGAGGTTTTAAGATTTACTCTCAGCGTCTCTCAAGCGTGCAGCACAGTATTGTTAACTGTAGTCACCATGCTATACATTACATCCCCAGGACTGACTTTAAAACTGGAAGCTTGTACCTTTTGACCCTATTCACCCATTTCAGCCAGCCCCCCGCCCCATGCTTGTCTTTTTTATGAAGGCGAGATTAAAGCTAGATGAAATAATCCGTGAGTCCACACAACTGGTCTCAGATAAACAGGGAAACAGCTCAATACCTAAAGAACAAGTGAAGAGAGCACCTTGGTAGCTCTCTGTGTGCGAGAAGGGGGCCCCCGTTTCTCCCTTGGGATGTATCACGTACCCTGTATGACATGTGACAGTTCAGTGTTTAGACTGAGTGATGGTGTTAGTATCAATTTGTACATTAAATGTGGCTCACTTTCTCTCACTTTAAAACTATTAGCAGGCATTTTGATATTTTCTTTGTGTATCCAGAGTGGATTGTCTTGTACTTCGAAGACCACAACTTTAAGCTGACTGAGGCACCCATAAAAATGACAGAAAAAGTGAGATGGTAGATTGGCAATTCCGGGGCTTCAAATTTGGCTTGAATGTTGACTCCACTAGGTAGGTGGTCACCTGCTACTGAGCAAATGACTTAAGTTATCTAAGCCTCAGTCACGCCATCTGTAAAATGACACCAGCAGTTGTGCCTAGTTGTGGGAGGAAATAAGAAGATGCATGCCCTGCCTGAGGCCTGAGCCCTGGTGCTGGCACTCTGCCCCCTTTGGGCTCTCCCTGGGCTGAGCACGGTAATCTCATGATGTCATGACCTGCTGTCCTGTGGAGGTAAGGTGCTCGTACTCAGGCACACAGCCTGAGGGTTGAATTAGCCTTGTGGAGGTTTCTGTTTGCAAACCCCAGTATATAAAGTGACAGAGGAAACAGCATGCTCTCAGGCCTTTTTCCCCCTTAACTCTCCAGGGGTTTATTCTCAGGGCCTTGATCTGTAGCCTTGGGCTATGTGTTAGCAGCACAGGTCACTTTTCATAAAGGTACCGATAACTTTTTTTAATACTTCAGGAAGACTACAGAAGCAAACGTCAGAAACCTCTCCTAGGACAGAAAGGAGAGCACAGACCCTGTTGGGATCAAGGCAGTTCCCTGAGCTGAATGATGACTGCTGAATCAAGGGAAGCCACCGGCCTGTCCCCTCAGGCTGCACAGGAGAAGGACGGTATCGTCATAGTGAAGGTAGAGGAGGAAGATGAGGAAGACCACGTGTGGGGGCAGGACTCCAGCCTGCAGGAGACTCCTCCTCCCGACCCAGAGATATTCCGCCAGCGTTTCAGGCACTTCTGTTACCAGAACACTTTTGGGCCTCGAGAGGCTCTGAGTCGCCTAAAGGAACTTTGTCATCAGTGGCTACGACCCGAGATCAACACCAAGGAACAGATCCTGGAGCTGCTGGTCCTGGAGCAGTTCCTTTCCATTCTGCCCAAGGAGCTTCAGGTTTGGCTGCAGGAATACCGTCCTGACAGTGGGGAGGAGGCCGTGACCCTTCTGGAAGACCTGGAACTTGATTTATCAGGACAACAGGTAAGAAGAGGTGAAACATTATGTGTGAGCAGTGCATGGACTTTGAGACTGGAGCTGAGAAAAGGATACTGATGTAAAGTTGTGTTAGTAAGTAACCTTTGTGGTGGTGGTTCTCCCTGCTCTGCTTGGATATTAAAATGTATTCTGGCTGCCTTCCCCCTGCATCTGCTGGTATACTTTGGTCTTCTTGTTTGTTTGGGCTCCTGTTTAAAGAGTGATTTACCCACAAACCCAACCTGTTTGTCCTCAGGTCCCAGGGCAAGTTCACGGACCTGAGATGCTTGCAAGGGGAATGGTGCCTGTGGATCCAGTACAGGAGTCCTCGAGCTTTGACCTTCATCAGGAGGCCACCCAGTCCCATTTCAAGCATTCATCTCGGAAACCCCGCCTTTTGCAGTCACGGGGTAAGAAGCAGGGCTTCATGTGAGGAAAAGAAACTGTTTAGGACAGGTGGTACCCTCTCCGTGTTGCTAAGTGCTTATGATATAAGAAGCTTGCTTATTTTTATCATTATGCATTATTGTCATTACTAGTAAATATTCAGGGAAGTATAGCTTACAAACCAATCTCAGGAGCTAATGTTACTAAGGAGGTAAGTGAAATGTGCATAATGAATTTGGTGGACATTATTGAATTGTTAGTATTCTGGATGTCTAGCAGAATTTTTTCACAGGAAAGTACTGGGAAGGGATGATGTGTTTCCAGCTTGGGTTTTGAAACACTCTAGTATATCATAAGTTACCTTAAGAGGGATCATTTTAAAAATTTGTTTGATTTAAAACATATAAAATATTGTATAACATCAGTCTTTTTTTAGGTTACTTCAAAATTTTCAAACAATGGGGAAAGAGTAGAAAGAGTATTTTGGTTTTGGTTGAGGAGCTGAGGAAAAAAATGTCAGGGTCGTATAAATAAAACTTAGTTTAACTTTCTTCCTTTGAGGAAGACATTAATGTCTTTATCAAATTTTAAAACCAGAGTAGGGACAGAATATCAACCAAAATAATAACATACTAAAAGTAACCACAGTGTTGCTCATGTAATTATATATTAATGATACCAAAATTTTAAAAATAACTTAGTAACATAATAAAAGTAAGAAGAGTTGATAAAGGCCCATTCTTTAACCAGTGTATTTATTGGCGATGGCATTTAGGGTTGGCCCATTAGAGCTGACGGAAGCATGTTCTTCCGTGCATCCTGGAGGATGGCCCATGGGAACCAACACACTGTGATGTTCAGTAAGCACCAATGTCTACCCAGTCCCGTTTATGTCCTAGGGCTTGGGAGGTCTCTCCACACTCCACAAGGGGCAAATTAGGAAATTGAAGAGGAATATTCAGGATTTTACTGCAGATTGAGCTTCCCATTGCCGGGGTAACAGTTTTAGAGACTGTGGCGCATACAGTTGTTGTTACTTGGAGAACAGTTCCTCAAAGAATTGAAGCACATGCCTTCATCCTCAGTTCCCTCTCATATTATTCACTTTCCCGAGTGCTTGCTAACCCTTCAAGGTTAGGGTACTAGGCATCTGGTCTCTACGTTTTCTTTAGATTATCTTACTGTACCATCTGAAATAATTACAAGGTTTAGTGACTCCATTTCAAATTCATTTCTCTAATCTGTGCAGCTTAGTAATGTTATCTGTTCACCAGTAACATTTCCAAGTCTAATATTACAGGCTCCCTGCCATCCTAAGGTAGAGCGTTCCCATGAAACCTTTCTTAAGCCAAAGTGGCAAACAATTTTTGAGTGTTTCCAGACCCCAAAAATAATGTCTCTCAGGCTTTTCTGAAACCTCAGGACACATCTTGCTAACGGATGGTGTGGCAGCACAGATGCCCACAGCCACAGGCCAGCGTGAATGGTGAACACAGATCCGTCTGGGCTTGCTGCTGAGGTGTGGATGTGCTGTCTGGGCAGGAGGCTGGAAGCGCCATTCTTGCTGCTCAGGGTGGGGCTGCCTCAGTAACAGCCCCATGCAGAACAGATGCCTTTTGTGCTTTTTTGTGAAAGTAAAAACCAGCTTTGCATTTTGGTTGGTTAGTGTAAACAGGCATTAATGTAGGTCTTTTGTAAAAGTGAAGTGTACTCACACGGGCTTTCGCAGCCTGGGGATACCTCTATGTGGTATTTTAATTTTGCAGTTTAAAATCTTCCTAATTGTTCTTACACAGTGCAGTTAGTGTGATCATCTGACTTATTACAGATGCCTTTTATTAGCTGAGTATCAACCCATACCTTTATACATCTATAAATATCTCACCAACTTTTGAACCAAATATACATTGTATCAGAAACATTGTGGCTAAGTGAAGGAGAAAAGTAGAGGAATAGAAAATGGCAAAAATTTTTTACTACTTACCCAGAAGTAAGAAGATCCCCTTCCTGTACAGTTACTACTAAAGATTTTTAAAGCAGATGGTGGTTTTCACAACTAAATGGGATTCTGATGATGATCTGGAGAAAATTAAATCACAAGCCAGAGTTGAATCAGGCTGAATGTTCCCACTTCTATAGCTGTGAATAGCTATTCTGGCTCTGCCATTCTTAAGTGTGTGACATTAGGCAAGTTGTTTACCCTCTTAGGGCCTCAGTTTCCCCTTCCTTAAAATAAAGGTGTTGGACCAGGACCCTTTCATGACTCCTTGTGATTCCTGCCTAAGAATAGAAATCTTGGGAAAATAGAGGCCATGCTTCTTAAAATATATATTCTCTGTAGTTAAACACTGAACATCAAACAGACTGGTGCAGGAAAGAGTGTGCCCCTGGGGAGGCCCAGAGCAGAGCTGGTTTTACTCACAGCTCCTTTCCCCTTCCTCAGCTCTCCCTGCCACTCATGTTCCTGCCCCTCCTCACGAGGGGAGTCCCAGAGACCAGGCGATGGCATCTGCACTGTTCACAGCAGATTCCCAGGTGAGCTTTGGGCCCCTCTGCCTTCCTGAGTTCCTCGTGTCTGCCTCTCTTCCCGGAGCTCCTTGCAGTCTCTGCCCAGGACACTCAGTCTTGATGCCCCTGCCCACAGAGTAATCCCACCACCCGCCTGTCTGCCAGAGCCTGGCATGGTCATCTTTTTTTCCCCAGCATTCCTTGTAGTCAGCTCCATCCCTGACTCCAGGTTTGGGCAATGGGATTGTGCATGGCCTTTGGGGGAACTGAGTGTGGGCATCTCATATTATTTCAGGCAATGGTGAAGATCGAGGACATGGCCGTGTCCCTCATCCTGGAGGAATGGGGATGTCAGAACCTGGCTCGGAGGAATCTCAGTAAGGACAACAGGCAGGAGAATTTTGGGAACGTGTTTTCCCAGGGTAAGACTGATGCAGGATTATTGTCCGATAAGATTGTTTTGCCTCTTTTGTATTAGTTGTGGGATCTCTCATGTATTCAGTTGAGTGTTGACAATGATTTGGAGATGACTGAGCCCCTTTTCCAGACCAGAGAATAAGAATGTTTGTGTTCAGTTAACCCCAGAAGCTTGGTACTGTGACTCCCAGATTCCAGGTGGACTTTTTACCTCTAGGTGGTTTTTGCTCTTTGAAATCAGAAATACTTACATGTTCTGAGTCCTCACCCCTTCAGCCACTCCATCTCTCTAGGAGGGTTCTGCTCCATTTCCCATGGGTTACAATTTAGGTGTCTCTGTTGGAGGAATACCTATATTTCCTAATAAAGAGGGTGAAGTGAGAACTGATACTGGTCTGATCATAACTTGGGACCATGTTCATGAACTACCATGTATCCTTCCATGGGCTTTCTGTTGTCTTCCATCCCGTGAGCACTGCTCCATGACAGCTTGATAAAATTCCACGAGCTTGAGTCTACACCTCCCTTGTGACCAGGATTCTTAGTCTCCATACCTAACAGTGATCTTCTGTGGAGAGCTCTGGCTCTTGGGTATGTGGTAAGAACAAAAGCTTTAAGAGACGTTAACCAGATAAGGTGACACAGCTGAGAAACGTTCCTGTTTGTCTCTGCTAGATCTCCACCCCTAGAGATCTACAGAGAAGATCTTAAATAAATCGTGTCACAGGAAAGTCCCATGGGACTTCTGCCTGAGGAGGACAGCAGGAGGTGAATGAACAGAGAAAGGATATTAGCATAGAAACCTCGTTTTGTTTGTAGCTGTCAGCATAACAGGCTTATGGATTCTTGGTACTGCTGTTTGGACTTGATGAAAATTAAGTGGAATTGGATATGTGTTTATGAGCTGGGTATTTAATCCATAATAACTTAAAAACCAAACATTAGGAACTATCCAGTTCATCAAGGACCTTGGCTCAGAATTCCAAAGAATTTCTTCTTCCTTATTACTCGTTCAGAATTTATGGCGATTTCGTCACTAAAGTCAGGGGTTAGGTATTACTAAACTCCCTTGGTAGTTGTATTCAGAGGCCACTTGGAAAGGTTTCTTACGGCCAAGTAAAAAGAATAAAGTTGGGATATTTGGAGGTTTTCCTACACAGTGTAGTCTTTTATAAATACTGTGTGTTCATTGAACAATTTTCAGTCTTTACTCAAAAACAAAATAACAGTGATCTACAATAAAAATATATTCCAGTGCTTTAATATGCTCATTCCTGAAATGAGAGGGTCAGTTCTGCGTTGGTAAAATTTAATTTTCTTCTATTATCTCTTCATGGGTATTTCTGGAATTATTTCCAGTTTCTTTTCTGACCTGAATTATTCTCAGTTTCTGTCAGGGAAGGTTTTAGGTATGATTACAAATTCCCCAGCTGACCTCTTCACCTTTGTCTCTGTTACTTGAGCACTGTAAGCTCTGTGCTGCTCTCCTGGTGGAGAGTGACTGGGGCCTGTGCCAGAAGGTCCACATAACCTGTCAATGTCAGAGCTCTTTGTTTTGTACATTAACCATGGTCTTGTTGATAAAAATCTCACAGAATTGGAAGATCATTCACTTTTCATTTATTAACTGTAGGCACACCTTGTTTTATTGTGCTTCACAGAGACAGCATTTTTTTCACAAATTGAAGGTTTGTGGCAACCCTGCATGAAGCAAGTCTTATCAGTTCCATTTTTCCAAAAGCATTTGTTCACTTCAGGTCTCTCTGTCGTATTTTGGTAGTTCTCGTGATACTTCCAGCTTTTATTATTATCACTATATTTGTTATGGCGATCTGTGATCAGTGATTTTGACTTCCTGACAGCTCAGGTGATGGTTAGCATTTTTTAGTAATAAAGTGTTTTTAATTAAAGTATGTACTTTTTTAAGACATAATGCTGTTGTATACTTAATAGACTAGAGCATAGTATTAACATAACTTTTTTATACACTGAGAAATCAGAAAATTCACTTGACTCACTTTATTGCCATGTTTGCTTTATTGTGGTGATCTGGACCCAAACCCACAATATCTCTGAGGTATGCTGGTATATTGCTTTCTGCTAATAGAACTTAACCATTTTTGAGGAAAGACTGTCCATTCTCTTTTTTTTAACTTGAAAATACTTACATTAGAAGTGGAGCATGATTGTTTAAATGTATATTTGTTCCTTCTACTTAGCAGGTGACCAAATAATAGAACTGTGAACTGTGACCTCTTTATGTTCCTTAATTCCTCATCCCTTCTTTGTAGATGGTTCTGTCCCCTCTGCTCTATCCCACTCTCTCTGCACGTGCTCTCTGTTGTCCTCTCCACTCTGCCCACCCTCTTAACTTCCTAGCTCTACTCCATGTTGTCCCTTTTTGTTGTTGTTTCTCCTTATTTCTCTATTTTATCTCTGGCTAATAGCATGTAGAAACTTCCTGGAAAACAATGTCACTTGATTAACCTATACATTCAAAAGAAAAGGTGCTATTGTATTTTCTATTTATTGTGCCAGGTGGTGAGAACAGGAATGAGAATGAGTCCACCTCAAAGGCAGAGATTGCCAAAGACTCAGCACCACATGGGGAGATAACAGGAAGATTCCAGAAAGATTTTGGAGAAAAACGTGAACAGCAGGGCAGGATAGTAGAAAGGCAGCAGAGAAACCCTGAGGAGAAAACTGGAAGAGACAAGAGAGATGCAGGGCCAGCTACCATCAAGGAAAAAAAGCCCACCACAGGAGAGAGAGGTCCAAGGGAAAAGGGTAAAGGTTTGGGAAGAAGCTTCAGTCTAAGTTCAAACTTTAACACCCCTGAGGAAGTCCCAACAGGAACAAAGTCTCATAGATGTGATGAATGTGGTAAATGCTTCACAAGGAGCTCAAGCCTTATTCGCCATAAGATAATCCACACTGGCGAAAAGCCGTATGAATGTAGTGAGTGTGGGAAAGCCTTCAGTCTTAACTCAAACCTTGTCCTGCATCAGAGAATCCACACAGGAGAGAAACCTCATGAATGTAATGAGTGTGGCAAAGCCTTCAGTCACAGCTCAAATCTCATTCTGCATCAGCGAATCCACTCTGGAGAGAAACCTTATGAATGTAATGAGTGTGGGAAGGCCTTCAGCCAGAGCTCAGACCTTACTAAACATCAGAGAATCCACACAGGGGAAAAACCCTATGAATGTAGCGAATGTGGAAAAGCTTTCAACCGAAACTCATACCTTATTTTGCATCGGAGAATTCACACCCGAGAAAAGCCCTATAAGTGCACTAAGTGTGGCAAGGCCTTCACCCGGAGTTCAACCCTCACTCTGCACCACAGAATCCATACCAGGGAGAGAGCCTCTGAATACAGCCCAGCTTCCCTTGATGCGTTTGGAGCATTCCTGAAGAGCTGTGTATAAAGCCAGAATTTGTCAATGAGCCATTTCCCCATTTTGTTTCTAAAATTATTTCAGAGGTGTGTGTCCATGGAGGGGGAAAAGAAACAGCCTCAACAAGTTAAAAAAAAAACACACATTTTAGGATCCTTATGGTTACATCAGCAGTGTTCTGCCTTGCATAGTCTGTGGGCATGTAATTATTCCACAGAACCCCCGCAGGGAAAAGCTAGTCATGGATAATCCACGTGTTGTTTCTGCACAAGACAAAAAATCACACTGTCAAGCTTTCCAGTAACGAGGATACCTTTAAAGCACTGTTGGACTTCAGCAACCACAGTATATAATTGCAAGGTTTGGATTGGCTCTCCTAAAGTGATACTAAGGTTAAAAAGCTCGCTGCAAACAAGCCCTACTTGGCCAACATCCTGCTGTACTTCTCAAAAAAGAGGGACAGTTAAAACGAAAACCATATTGGGACATGCTGCTCGAACTAGTTATATATACAATTGAGTTATATATAATCACTGGTAGCCTACCAAAGCTGTAGAAATCTAGGACTGTGCTGATCAGTATCAAACCAAAGATTTCTATCTCTTCCTGAAAGAGGGTGTGTGCTCCAGTCTACAGTTCCAAAGGATTAACAAATGTAGATGGTTCTATCCTCATCACTGAGATAAATTCTACTGAAATGGCAACAGTGATTGAAAACACTTCTCTCCCTTCTAGAAATCCCTCAAACTCCTAAAGCACTATCGCACTCCTGTATGCATTTCTCCACAACTCAGCACTTGATTGTCTGCTTTCTTTTAATCCTTCATTGTCTTGTGTGTCTAAGTTTTCATCACCCCCCACAAGAGATACTTTGATTGTCAAGGGGTACATCTCTGTCCCTGAAATTGCTGGACACAGTGCCGAACACATAAGAGGCATGCATTATGCCCAACTTCTAACAGGACTTTTACATTTATGATGAAGCCCTGTGAATCTTGAGTACCTGAAATAAGGTAGCCTGGGCCAACTTTTGAAGGGGACCTTCAGAGCCCAAGACATGCAAAAGCTCTGGGATCTGATGCTATTTTTGTCGTAAATATTTTTTAAAAAGTCACTGGTTAGCCACACTACATAGACTCTAAATATGGATCAATGAGTAAATACCATGGAATCTCATCATCTAAAGAAAAATACAAATACTTACTAAGGCCATTTTTTGACGTCTTTCTATGACAAAGATCTTAGCCAGGATTCTCTTAAGTCAGCTGCTGAACAACATGATGATTTAGGCACTTACTGAATCATTTGTAACTTTAAATAATACAGTTCAGAAGATATGATTTTTGTTGGCTTTTCAGAGAAAGGAAACTTGGAGGGAGCTTTTTCCTCACACCTCCCATAAACTTTGCAGAAGCATCTGACATGGTGAGCTGGCAATTACTAAGCATGTTGGTTGCCCCAAGAAGTGCATCGACGTGCCAAGATGTGGTTGGTGGTATTGTAGCCCTACTGGATGTGGTCTTTCCTGTTTCTCACCACTAAAACCTGAGGAGAGGTTATGAGACTTTCGTCTTTTCCACCCTCTGTGCAGGAGGATACAGCTGGTGGCCTAGAAGCTAATGACAGACCATTGTCAGATACACATATGGAAGACCCAAGTATCATGGGCTACTACATAGATGGTCACAAGGATTTGGGTGGAGATGAACCTGTTCAGGAGAGCATGCGGGTGAGCATGGATACCTCGCAGGAACTTAGAATCATAGGCTAAGGGCACACCTGAAGACTGTCCCCATAACAGGAGAGCCCCACACAGAGTTTGAGATTTTCCATCAAGAAAGAGAACTAAAAACCATCATTCATCAGTTGTTCCTGGACCAGTAACTCCAGCCCATAAACAGCAGGGCTCTATGGAGAGCCAGGGAGCTGGAGGCGGCTGTGCCCCAGGCCAGGCCAGACTGCAGTTCTGCACAGCGGTAGTTCTTGGCCTCTGTAACTTGGACCAACCACAACTCCCTGTAGCTTCTGAGCAGTTTCATAGTGTTGCCTGGGGAAACTTCAGGGAAGTCAGCTGGCAACCAGAATATTTCTAAAGGAAAACAGGAGAGATATTCCAGAAAAGTATACCTAAGTAATTTCTTTTAGTAAAGGAGGGTAGAAGACATTTTCTTCAAAGCATGAGTCACAATGGTGATGGCAGAGAAAACTGCTGGTGCTTCTGAGCAAAGACTTGGCTGCTGGGAAGCAGCTGAAAGCAGTGAGGTGCCAAACTCCAGGCATTGACCGTTCTCAAGCGGCAAAGAACTTCGTTTGGTTCCACACTGGCCTTTTTTTAGCCACAATTACATGCTGACATAATTCAGCCATCGTTTTTTGTGTGTGTGTTTGTGTTTGTGTTTAATAGTTAAATATAACCTGTGCCTCCACACTTAATTCCCATTTCACCGGGACATCCTCCCAACAGTGTGGGCTCACTGCTGAGGTCACTTCAGATCTTCAGCAGGTGCACTTCCTGAGGCAGCTGTTTGAAGATAACAGTCTGTACCTGCTTATTAAAAGCGTTTACACTGCACTCATTTATCAGGCGCTCTAGTGCAGAGTGTAATTGGGTCCTGCTCAGAAAGGCTGCAACATCTCATAGAGCTCAGGACAGTTACTCAAAAGTTCTTGACTGACTGAAGTCTGTTAACAGTAGAAGAACTCTACAGCAGACCATTAGCATGCTAGTTGATACAGTGGAAGTTTTTGAAGGGTGTTTAAAAATATACCTTAACCTTGCCAGGAAAAGAAGTAAAATTCCTCAGGTTGTGGGGAATTTGTTTCTGTTCCAGCCTGGCAGACAAGGCTAAAGCCTGAGAATATGGATGTAGGAGGCATCTTCATATGTAAGGCACTTAATATTTTATTAAAGCATGAAGGTGAAACCGCTGACTGTGTAGAGGTGGACACGTTTGATACGTGAGACAGTTCGCGTCTTAACATATTGGAGAATCCATTCCAGAAAGGAACCTCTTGAATGTGATAAATATAGCAAAGCCTTTCATCACATCTCAGCCCTTAGCATCAGAAAGCTTACACTGTAAATAAATTGTATAAATATTCTATGTGAGGACAACTTTCATGTGTAGCACTCATTGCTTTGGACAGAAATGAATTCTGTCAGTATGTCCTGACCATGTAATGGATTTCAGAAACACTGCAGAGGAAGCTCAATCTTGACTTGAGGATCCACAAAAGAAAAAAATGTGGGGAAATGCTAAAGAAATAGCAAAAATGGTTACAAAGTTGTTCTTACAAAAATTGTTACTGTTGGATACTTCTATATATTTTGTATGACCATAATATCAGTGTCTTTGTTTTGTACCTTCAGCCCCTGTTGTTAATCTGTATATTCCCTGTAAACAGATAATGTATTTTATTTTAATCTATTTGACAGAACATACCACTCCAAAGCAGCAAAGTTTTGGAGTAAATAGTGATCTTGGAGGTTGGTGTGGTTATAGACAAAAAGTCCACAGAACTGAGGAGGGGGGAAAATGAGGAAAAAAACCTTCATAGTTTGGTGCTTATCAAATCAAGAGAGGAGGTTAGCAGATTCATTAGGAGAGACAGGGTAATAGGGCACTAACATGGAGCAATCCCTGTAAATATCTGCAGCTTCCTGAGAGTTTTCCATCCTGACCGGAAAGCTGACCTCTTAGCTGCCAGGTCACCATTTCTAGCAAAGAGAAAAGGTTCTCTGATCTTGTCGGGGTGGGGGGATGTGGCGGTGGCAGGCGGGTAGGAGTGTCTTCATGAACCGAGTTGGGTGTGTTCTGGAAAGGCTAGTAGGGCCACTTGACTGAATTCTGTAAACCATATTGTCCTGCTTCCCCCACTAACTCTTAAATCTTTGCTTAGAAAATCTGGGATTGGAAAACACCAAGGTGGGCTTTTGCCCGGCAAATGGGCACAGATGGTCCAATGTCTGGCACTACAGGAAGTTTTCCTGATAAGGCTGGAGAAGCATTTTGCAATACTCCTTTTGGCTGTGCTCCTGCCAGTTTGCCTTGTGCTTGCTTCCCCTGGTTTGAGATGATTACAAGAGAGGGCTGGTGAAAATTTACGGCTACAAAAGAATTTTTTTCTAACTTTTATCCTCAAGATCACCTCTTTTTATTCCAGGGTCTAGTCATCCTCATGTACTTACTCATCTAAAACTAACCAACCAGGTTGCATCCTGCATCCTTGTGGGCGATCCTTTGTGTGAGTTGGAGTTAACAGTATTAAAATGTGGTCAGACAGTGACAGCAATACTTATCAGAGGAGCCATACTTTTGTGTGCCCCACTCTGAGCAACTTCCCAGAAATATTTGTGAGGGATCTGGGGTTTCCCATCTAGAAAATCAAATGATGATCTGCAGATTGCAAAGTGAAATGTAGAATCAGAAAAAATAAATTAAGTTGTATCAGTAGATCTTTTTTTCATGGACATTCAGAGTAGATTTTTATTTCAGCTACTACTGGAGAATTTAATAAGCATTATGTGGAAAGTTTTCCTCCTAACATAGATTTAGGTTGCATTTTTAGAATGGACACACTACTGTACATTTAGAAGCAGTTAGTTATTTTGCTATTCAGATTAATTTTTTTATTATATCTGAAAATGAAATTATCTGTTTTACTTTTCAAAGCTTTGTAAAAATAAACTTGAAGTTATAGGGAGGTCAAGCCATCTCCAGTTCCACAGGTCAAACAATCATTTGGGCATCTCCAAATACAGAATGTCTGAACGTGGGGGCTTAGTTTTGTATCACCTGCTTCTGTCGTAGTGGACACCACAAACCTCATGTTTTTCTCTTGTCCTGAAATAGCAGAAGGTAAAGAGTGGGCATTAGGTTGACTTTCAAACATGAGCTTCTGTTATTTTAGCAGCTTTCTCTTTTTTTCTAATTTAATCTTTGAGATTCTCACCTCCATTTACTAAAGAATCATGACTCACTTTGAGTTATACCATAATTAGCAAAGTTAATTGGTCTGTGAAAATTACC